AAACCAACTTTAATTTGATTTACTCCCTAAATTCTGAGTTATGTTAAACTAATCTTTCAGCTGTTAGTGTCTGTTTTTCTTTGTGAATCTCAGCGTTTGATTCTCTTTGTTGTGCAGTTGATGAGGAAGCGGTGCGACCTGAAGAAGAAGCTGCGGGTGACGTTTGTTGGGGAGGCGGGGCTGGACATGGGCGGCCTGACGAAGGAGTGGTTCCTGCTGCTGGTGCGGCAGATCTTCCACACAGACTACGGTGAGACGCACCGTCTCTTCCCTTGTCCACAGAGAAGCAGGACTCGGACGGTCGGCTCCTGGAGCCAAGTCGCTGCTGACGTGTGCACGTGTATAAAAACTAATGTGACTCAAACCGCAGGAGAGCGAAGCTTGTTTCACGTGAACGGGAGGAAACGCTGCATTGGTCCGGGAAACGATCAAATCTGCTCATATCGTTTCTTTAATGCCACAAATACTCGTGAAACGCGGATCAATCGCTGCTGAGTATTTGTGGCAGTAAAAAAAACGATATAAGCAGATTTGATCGTGTAAAACTTGTACTTAAAAAGTACAAATAAATGGATAAAAAGGAACTAATGTATTTTGAAGTACAAAGTAAATGTACTCTGTTACTACAACTGCTCCACTGTAAGATTAAACTGAATTTAAAGAGAATTAGTTTATTTTCCAAACTTTCCAATGTTTCCATCATGTGACGATAAAAAACCCTTTAAAATACTGATTTCCTCTGTTTCAGTTCAACTTGCTCCTTCAGTGCAGTGGAATTAAAATTAAAATACTTGAATGGAAACAAAGCAACGGTTCAGCTGCCCTCGCTCTCTCTCTCTCTCTCGCTCTCTCTCTCTCTCTCTCGGTGTGTGTGGGTGTCTCTCTACCCGCTGGTCGAGTTGTTCTTTCCATCTTTCCGTGGTCGTCTGTGTTTTTCGGTGCCAGCGGACGTCGACCCAAAGAAACACTGAACTGTGTTCTCCTCATTAGCAGCATGGGGAAAGCCCCGGCTCTGCCTCACACACACTGGCAGGTGCACACACACACACACACACACACACACAGGCTCTTGTGAAGCGGTGTCAGTTTCTGGCGTTGGGAGACGTGAGCTCCAGATGTTTGTCTCTGCTCTGAACAGTCGGCTGCTGTTTCTCTCGTTCGAGTTTCACCAAACTGTTTTTTTTTTGCGCTCTGACTCCAAAGACATCGACGACTTCAGGAGAGTCGATCATTTCTCAACAAGCCGCTCAGAGTCAAACATTAAGTGAAAGACTTCACACACAATCAAAGGACTAAATTCAAAAGCAGCAGAAAGAATAAAAGTCAGATCGTGGAACACAGAAAGTGAAGGAACATTATCAACATGATAATAAATTATAATCATATAATATGAATTAATCTCATATTTACTTTATATTTTAATATTTGATTATACTTTCATTAAATATTCAACATTTATCATGTTAATCATTTAGTTTTTCCTTCTCTCACTTTTCATCTGTTCATTCTTCTGTTCTCTCTCCTTTAGTCTTTATTTCCTTACGTCACTGTTCAGGTTCCTTTTTTTCTTCATCACTTTACTTTGTAGTTGTTTTACCTTTTATTCGTCTGTTGATTCATGGAGTTCATTTGTTTCTCAGGGATGTTCACCTACATGAAGGACTCACGCTGTCATTGGTTCAGCAGCTGGAAGTGTGACAACTACTCCGAGTTCCAGTTGGTCGGGACTGTATCCTTCATCGTAAAACTTAAATACAAAGGCTGTAGTGTGTCTGTCCCACGTGCACAATGTTTCTGTGTTTGAGATTTATTACTTTCAGAGCAGAAACCCTGAACAGCTTCCATGTAAAGATGTGCATGAATTTCACTTTTGCAGTTTCTGCTTTTACAGAGAGACTCTGCAGTTTTGTCTGTGTTTTGTAACATGTATGTCCAGTGTGTGTGTGTGTGTGTGTGTGTGTGTGTGTGT